GCCATGCCACTGCTTTTAATGTGTGACCAATACTGTGTGTTTTATGTTTTTAGTGTATAGCTTTTATAAATGATGATTTCAATGTAAAGTGTCTTTGAGTATTCTGAAAAGCGCTCTATAAATAAAATGTATTATTACTATTATGGCTTTGCCAACACACCTAACTGGAACAGAGCCATCATTACTGTAATTTGTAATGATTACCCTTTCCTTTAATGACAAAACATATATATGTATATGTATGTGTATGTATATGCGTATGTATATATATATATATATATATATATATATATGTATATACATATATATAAATTATTTGACATGCCATGGATTGCCCTATCTTTAGCCACAGTTTTGATGCTCTTTGTTTGCTCTATTTACAAAATAATTCAGGTGACTACCCATTTAATCTCAGACAGTAACACCACAGAACACCACATTTGATGAAATAGATTGCGTTTGTATTTTCAGCAGTTTTACTCTGGCAGTAATGAGCGGTTGCTCAGAGAACACAAGTCCAGATTCATCAAAGGGACATCCCACACACTGCCTGTCACAATCTATTCACGAGGCACAGGCTGACACATATTATGGGAGGTGATCATCAACAGTTTGTATGACAGGCCATATTGAAAAAAAAAGTACAATGTACAGTCAATTCCAGTTATGTGTAGATATATCTACAGTGCTTTTAAAGCTTTGCCAAATGTCATGAGCACAGAGATGGATACATGCAGGAGTGAAAATGAGATTGTTTGTTTTTGAAACTGGATGTGGGGGCTGCAGAAAAGTATACACATTCAGTCTGAGTCTGATGTACAGCACAGCAAGAATGATATATATTGTTGGTTGTTGGAAAAACATACACATTGGCGTTTTTTTATAACAGAAAATGAAAAAATAAACATGGTGTAATTGCATCAGCAGCACTGATTTGTTGGCTGCAGCACAGCATGACTCCTGCCTTCACTGATCGAGGACCTAGATGTCGAAACAGGAAAGTTATTTGAAAACATATTTATTTCTTGTTAAACCAGACCAACTGAAAAGATTTATGGAAAAATAGATTACCCTGGGTTAAGGAATTCGAGCTTCAGTTCTTTATTCATGTAACACGCTGTGTGTGTACGAGACTTTAGGAGAAACCAGCACGGTCGAAACACTGGCTTATGCAAGTGTACACGCAAAGAATAACAGGTCCAGGAACAGTTTTATTGTATGCTTACATGGTCCTCAGCAACCCACTTCCCCAGTAACCTAGAGTGTACACAAGACAAAAGGACAATGAAGAGACTTGTTGCTTTTTCATTTATTTTCTTATTTTGATTAAATTAATGTAAGATCACTCTTTAGTTGTAATCGATGACATCTGTGGTAATTACAAACTCACGTGCCTAAATCGCCCTCGGTTTGGCTGCCAGAGATGGGGGTTGCAAGTGTTTCCTTGCAGCCTTGACAACCATCCCCGATTTATTGCAGTGTCCCTCAGACATGGAAGTAAGAAATAGAGAAAAAAAAAGAAAACAGATCGGATTCCAAAGCCCCCTTCCATCTGCCGGGTCACACCGTGTCAATAATATCAAGCTTAGCACAGAGAGGAGGGCTTCAGCGAGTGGGAATAAACAACAGTTGTTTTCAGTGAGCTACATTTTTGTTTTTAAATCTTTGTTAAAAGTTCACACGCCTAATGTCAGCAAATTCCCTCCTGTCCTTAGCTACTTTACCTCCTGCTCACAACAATGGCTTCAACTACGCAAGTGGTAAGGTAGGTTCACCTAGAGTGACGACCTCAAAGGGAAGTGCATGTGCTGTTCACCTAAGGCTTCAATCATCCTACTGGGTGAAGGTGGGTGGATCTGTTGCACTTAAACCTCTGTCCTAATGCTAGCAGCTCTACTTAGGCACAGTAATGCTTAGAACTAAATGCTAACAACAGTATGCTAACATGCTGATGTTTAGCAGGTAGAACATTTAACATGTTCACCATCTTTGTTTGGCGTGTTGGCTTAGTAACATTTGCTAATTAGCATTAAACACAAAGTTCAGCTGAGGCTTGGTTTTTCCTGTATTTGGACATGAACCATAGTAGGCCTATTGGACAAATTAAAACTATAACCACATTACGCATGGCATGGCAAACCATCCAAACGTCATTAAAGGGCCATGCCAGTAATTTCGCATTGCACTCTAATTGAGTTGATGGACTCACAAGAGACAGACTGTAAAGAGGAATGCTCAAAACTGAAACAGATAAATGGACTTAGTTGGACTAAATATGACTAAAGCTTAAAAGAAAAAGAAAAAACTAAAACAAGGGACTCTAGAATTCCCATGATGCAACTCAATGGCATCTTACATTGACCCTGATTACATCATTGGGTGGAAATAACCTTGATGACATCATCTGAGTATTATCTCAGACTTTAGAGAGCTCCATTCAGAGCCACACAGCCACATAGGACGTACACAACTCTTTTCACAGTGGCGCTTGAGGAAAAGTCAGTGGATCATGAACATCTGTACCAAATTTTGTGAAAATGCATCCAATAGTTGTTGAGATATTTCAGTCTGGACCAAAGTGGCGGACCTCTGACCCATTAGGGATGACACATCATGATTTGTCTCAGCATTTGAGATATTATAATTTATTTACTTTTTTGTACTACCAGTAGATTCATGAATCTTCATTTAACATGGTTGCATTTGTCCTCTGAAATTAAGGGTCCTTAGAAACTGCACAGTCAAACATTAGGAATATCAGACAGTCCTACAAGTCAGACTTCCAGGATATAGACATACTTCAGTCAAAGCCAATGGGACTCATCTAAGAGGCTTCAGTTCCACTGACAGGTTAGGAGAGTTGTATCAATAGGATCACAGCACAATAAACAGTCAAGTTTATTTGAATACAATGTTCCAAGCCCTCCTGGTACCATAAGAAGAAGTAAAGGGACACGAGAAAGGGAAATAAAGAGGAAGGAAATGTGAAATCCTCTGGAGAAGAATCCTTAGGAGAGGCAATTCAAAGAGAGATTCTCCTTGGGGGTGTTGGTGACGCAATAGTAGCCAGAAGTGGGAAAATGGTTATGATGCAAATTAGAGGGAAAAAGCCCAGAGAGGGACTTCAGAATGGCATTGAGTTTCCAGCTTATTAGTACACCTAGAAGCATTTTAATTAGTGCCAATAAAACAGCCCTGTAATACCTCCTGTCTTCAAGAGAGGTGTTGATAGGCTGTAGATGGTGGTGCTGCTGAAATGCATTGTACTTAAAGGGGCCTCTGTTTCTTTGTTCACCCCTAGTGACAAAATAATAGACACATCTTTCAACGCACATTTTTTGTAAATTTTTTGTGTGGATCGCGGTACTCATATGAGGAGGCTATGCTAAACTGGGACAACCTCACCTGAAAAGAGGACGTGATCTGCGGTGCAGCTCACGGGTGCTTACAGTGCAGTCCTGACATCACTTCCTGGACTCACAGCTTTTACAACAATCTTCATCTCAATTATGGGGGTTCAGGAATTGTATTTGAAACAGTTGAAATTACCCTGAAGGCAAAGCTTCTTCTGAGAATATACTGTAAGTCCTCGACAAGAAACTAAATGCCTCAGTTTATTTGATGCCAATCTCTTCCTCAAACCACTCTCCTCCCTCTTTCTATCACTCATTGTCTCTGTCGCTCTTTCCCCCCATGTTGCATTGTACACAAACTGGAGAGTTGTATGGCATGTGGTGCAGGGAATGAGTCAGACTGCCCACCAGCTGTGAGCCTGGCTTGCCAGTGGGGAGGAATTAAAGATATTTCGTGCAGGGCAGGCAACAGCCGACAACACTGGTGTGTGTGATTTACAAGGCTATTAGGAAGGAGGCCAACAGCAAGCAAAGAAAAGCAGGCCTGAGGTATAAGACACATTCAGGTTGACTGTAATAATAATAATTATGCTCTCACCGAAATACCTACATATGGTACTCCTGTGCTACAAATCCCCACCAATGACACCAGTGATTCCAAGCACCAACGCCTACTTTTAAAGACCCAGTGGATCTCTGAGACCAAACAAATGAATCAGAGTTCACTTTGATTTTAGGGAGGGTTCACTGGTCCCATAGGCCAAGAGCAGCAGGGCCACATAGCATGAAGAACTAAGGTCATGGCCTCAGTAAGCCAACTGTCTCTGGGAATTTGGGGAGTTTTTTCAGATTTGAGGGTGAGTTTGCATAACACAATATTTAGTTTTTTGGACTCAATATCCTTCAATCATTCTTCGGTCAATACTGTTTTCATCAAAATTGTATTTGTTCCACATTTTATACTGTTGTTCGGTTATATTTTCTGCCAAATTAATCCCCCTACACAATTTGATAAATATATATCATTATCCAAAAATATTGACTTCCTCAGCAGCTGTAGTGAGGACGAAATCTGAAGATCAATCAAGGTTTGAATTGTTTTCTACTTTTGTCTTATGGTGACTGATGCTTGTGGTAAAGTCTAACTAGTAAATTATATCATTTAGTAGCCAAAACCTGTTTTCCATCTTGTTTTGTTCATAAATGGGAGTAGGCTATTTCGCATGGTATATATAAATTTAAATATATATATAGTTGTATTCACACTTTTTCCGTAAAACAAATGAAAACAAATGAAAATAAAAATAGAAAATGGTATGCAGACCATTGTGTAGGGAGATTACCTTTGCAGAAAATATGACCGAACAACAGTATAAAATGTGGAGTAAATACAATTTTGTTGAAAATAGAATTTACTTTTTGTCTTATTTTTTGGGGGGGTCCAAATTCCAACAGAGAGGAAGACTAATGCCTTTAGTTTTTTTTAACTCCTTATTCTGGAGATGTCTGTAGTTTTGATACCCTAATGGTTTGCTGCTCTGTGATTTTGACTGCCATGAATACCCACGATTGACTTCCGTGTTTCCTCCCTGCCTTTAGGTAGGCTACAGGCTAATTTGCGCTACTTGGCTCGTGTGCCATACACCAGACGCTGGAGCCTATTATCCAATTAGCGGCGTTAGAGAAGGGGTTGTCCTTGACACGGCTATTTCCCAATTAGAGAGGAACACGTGCATTTGCTCCCCTACTTAGCGCTGGGCCAACGGGTCATTCGTGTCTTCCCAGCAAAAGACAACACTCTGTGTGTCCAAAAAAAACAATCCCCCAAAAAAATATAACCCCTGTGTATGAAAGCAAAAACCAAAAAAAGAGAAAGAGGACTATGCACGCGTTGGTGAACGCCTTCATGCGCTGCCTCTCCTTCCTCTTGCCTCCCTCTTGGCTTTGTGTCGGCTTTTGCTTGTGGGCTGGGAATGAGTGCGAGGAGACGCTGCCGCCGCGGCCCAATCCCAGAGCTCGTTTCAAAAGCAGAAAGCCTCTTACATATGAGGAAGTGGCAGCACTAGCAGCGGTAGAAGACCAAGGAGGCTCCAGCCCGTCGGTCTCGCCAGCTCCACCAGGCTGCGTCTCGCCGGCTGCTACGAGCCCCGCTGCTCCTCAGGGCCCTCCGTCGGGTCGGATCTGGATCGGGGGCCTCTGGCGAGCCGTGGAGCGCGTCCTCGGAGCCCCCTGGGTCCTCCTCCGTTATCACTGGTGCCCGAAGAAGAAGCGTCGAGCGGCTTTACGCGCCCCGTATCCTGTCTGTGCCTTCGCGTCGAGCAAGATTCGAAGCGACCAGGGAGGCGCTGCTGCTGCTGCTGCTGCAGCTGCTACAGCCGCGGAAGGGAAGGGAGCGGGTGGAGGCACCTCGACGTGTTCGGCGAACATGAGCGGGTCCGCGGGGAGTCCCGACTTGAGCCCGGAGGAGCGCGTCTCGGATGCGTCAGCGGAGCGCAGCATCGATGAGGTAATCACCGTGGATCAGCACACGCAGGAGATGGGGACGGTGACGATCACGGTGGCCATTCAGGCGGCGGAGGACGAGGAGCCTGAGGAAGTGTCCGCCAATATTATTGACTTCCTCGGAGGCAGCTGTAGTGAGGACGAAATTGGAAGACATGACAAATCCAGGTTGGACTTATTTGCTACTTTTTTTATTGTCTTAGTCAATGATGCTTGTGGTAAATTGTGGTCAATTATATACATCACTTGGTGAACAAAAACTGAATTCCTGGCCTTGACTGACTTACTTTAGTGCACTTGTTTCGTTCATAAATGGGAGCAGACTATTCCTCATGGCAGACGGGGTTCAGTTTAGGTCGGAGGGTGAATGACACGTTTTTCCTCTTGCTGTCAAGGTTATATTGAAACTATGCGTGGGATATATTATTACTGTATTGGCCCGTTACTTCAGTGAGTGAACTGCCGGCACATGAGCAGCGTGGGTACAGCGGGAACTGTTTTGTTTCACTGAAAGAATGCCAAGCGTGTTGAAGGAGAAAGGAAAAAATGCTGTGCAAATATAGAAGCGTAATCCCGACAGGTGTATTGCGGTGACAACAGAACAACGCCACAAATGTGCGGGGCGGCGGAGGACAATAGATGCTCACAATCGGGGAGGCGTCAACGCTCACCCACGGACACTCGAGGGTTATTTAACTGGTCACAGAGTGTTTTAACCACCTGTAGGCCGCGCGCCGGCGCTGCAGAGCCAGAGACACCTGAGATAAAGGGATGACACCCTTCACTTTAACCTAATTCCCCTGCGTCATGGCCACGCTATTTTTATCCTCCAGCCTATATGTCGCCCCCCCCCCCCCCCCCGAAATGCGTGCGCGAGCGAGGAGTGAGTCAGTAATAGAAAGGTCAACTGGGGTGGGGGTGGGGGGGGCAAATCCGTCGGTCCGACCATACCATGCCTCTGTTTGTTCTGCAGGTCACACTTTAAGTTTTCCCTCTCTCTCGCTCTCTCTGGCACAAAGAGCTGCTGTCGCACCTGTGCTTTGTTCCACACTTCTTCCTAAAAATCTGATAAAAGAAACATGCTTTGGAGCGTTGTCAGCTTAAAAAAAAGATTCCTCCGGAGTGCACTACTCCTTGAGTGAACTTCATTCACAGCCTATTATAAAGAGAGAGGGAGAGAAAAAAGAAATCTACAACATTTCCGCTGTTACCTTTTTTTTTTTTTAATCCGCATATTAAACTGACCTCTTAAAGTTCAGCTCCCGGTTGTCTTTTTTTATTTTTTTTTATTAAATCTGAGGTCCTGGGGAAGCATCAGTGCTTGCGCCAGCTGTGTGGTCAGCCTTGGCTCATGAGCTGTTGACTGAGGGTGTGCACTGGAGGAAGAGGAAGAGGAGGAGGAGGAGGTGATGAGTCATCCACAAAATTTCATCAGACCCCTCACTCTTAATCTGCCAGGCTACCTGACTATGCCGCTTCACAGCTTCAGCCGGTTGTCTGGCTATCCAGTGCCGGTCCCAGTTTTTTCTTTGTACGTTGTGTGGAGTTTATTTTTTTGGTGAGGCTACCATATTCTGTGTGGGAGGGAGAGCCTGTGACTCTGGTGCACTTCAGATGGAGAGGTCTTGGCAGTTATTGAGGATTGGTGGGGCACGGGTGTCGAGGTCTGGCTTCTGAGGCATGGTGACTGCAGACAGCTTGTCCACTGCAGAGGGAGATTTCAGGATGAGGGTGTTTTCCTGCCAAATGACTTGTAAGCCTCTGGCTCATTGTATTAATGAAAGTGAGGTGTGTAACCGTTGTGGTGTTGTTTAACAGTTTTAGACTTACATTTGCATTTTGTCTTCCACACACACACACACACACACACACACACATATACACACACACACACACACACAGCGGTGCCGGCACCAGCGGAGGTGAGTTGGAGGAGGAGAGCTGGCAGCCCCCGGATTCAGAGCTCATCCAGAAGCTGGTCGCTCAGATCGAGTACTACCTGTCCGATGAGAACCTGGAGCACGATGCCTTCCTGCTTAAGCACGTCAGACGCAACAAACTGGGCTTTGTCAGCGTCAAGTTGCTCACTTCGTTCAAAAAGGTAACCATGGTTGCAATGCTCTTTGGTAGAATGGGGAAACACAACAGGAAATAATTGGAATTCCCTGTCCACAAACACGCACTATGCGTCACATGCTTTAATAGTAGTCATTATTTTCTTTTAATGTTGTCTATTGATATTCCTGCAGCGATTGGCAACCAGATATATGCACATTGACCAAAATGTACAAATGGAAGTTTAAAGCAAGGCGGAGACAGTTAAAAGAGGAACCTGGGCAGAGCATTTGTCATTTTTTAAATTCCCAGTGACGTACAGGCTGTGTAAATAATGCTTTTCTCACATGGATTCACACCAGCTGGTGCTGCTTTAGGCCCATGCATGCAGATTTGTTGGGTAGTTTGATTTAAAAAAAAAAAAAAAAAAAAACCACTTCTATTTATGGCACCAATAATCCGAGGCCCCACACACCCACTCATTTTTAATATAAACAAGGACACTCGTATATGAGCTTGAAGACACTTGAGGTGACACATTCTACACCTGAGCAACGCTCACGCAGCGGTGAATTGAGTAATGCAGTGAGGGCAGGATGTTTGGTAGAGATATTGATTCAGGAAGTATGACTGGAAGGAAGGCAGTGCGCGCTGCTGACTGATCCTGCTGATGGGCCTTATTTCTTAGCCATTTCTCATTTCACTGATGCGTCATAACTCTCAGAAGCGATTGCCGGGGATCAATGGGTGCCCTAATGGTTATGAGAAGGCCTTCTTGGACTACTTGGCATCTCACCCATGTAACACGAGCTTTGTCTCTTTTGCAGGTGAAACACTTGACTCGAGACTGGAGAACAACCGCTTACGCTCTGAGACACTCCGGTATACTCGAGCTGAACGAAGAGGGGCGCAAGGTGCGGCGCAAATCCGCAGTGCCGGTCTTTGCCAGCGAGTCGTTGCCCAGCCGCATGCTGCTGCTAAGTGATCTGCAGAGGTGGCCGGAGCTGGCAGCTCTCACTAAGGAAAATGGAGGCAGCAGCGAGGCAGGAGCGACTCAGCAGGAGCAGCTGATGAAGCTATTGTTGAAGGAGTTCGGAGCATATGGCGCCATCGCCTCCGTCCGAGTGCTGAAGCCTGGGAAGGACCTGCCGGCCGACCTGAAGAGGCTGAGCGGCCGCTACACTCAGCTGGGCACTGAGGAATGTGCCATTGTGGAGTTCGAAGAGGTGGAGGCCGCTGTCAAAGCCAACGAAGCCGTGGGGAGTGAGGATGGAGGCGCCGGTTCGCTGGGGTTGAAAGTAGTCTTGATCGGCACCAAGCCGCCCAAGAAGAAGGTAACCAAGGAAAGGCCGCGGGAGGAAGGAGGGCTGCGCAAAAGTCGCTCGCTCAACAGCAGGGTGCGAGAGCTTCAGTACCACGGGGACGACTCGGCCTGCAGCTCCTCGGACACTGAGAGCAACCCTACGTCCCCGAGGCTGGCCAGGAAGTCCCAGTCCTGCAACAAGCTCAGCCCCACCACTGCGGCCCTCAACATCCAGAACAATCACCTCAGCCCCAGTATGTCCCCGCGCAACAGTCCCTGGTCGAGCCCCCGCGCCAGCCCCTGTCCTCAGCGCAAATCTCCCCATTCCCACAAGTCTCCCTTAGCCAGCGAGGGCAGACTGAGCCCGGATTCCGGGCGCCGCTGGGCAGACTACTCCTCGGACAGTAGCCTCACCCCTTCGGGAAGCCCGTGGGTTCAGCGGCGCAAGCAGGTCGCGTCGCAGGAGAGCAGCCCGGTCGGCAGTCCGATGATGGGTCGGAAGATCCAGAACGCCGACGGCCTGCCACCGGGGGTAACGAGGCTGCCCAGGGGTCCCGACGGAACCCGCGGCTTTCACTGTGTCTCTGTTGCTGAGAGGGGAAAGACTGCGGCTACTCAGACTTGATATGTGGAGCATCCTTACGCATTACTTTACCCCTCCCCCCCCCCAAAAAAAAAATAAAAATTATCTATTCGAGCTGTTCTTGGCAGTAGCTCTCAGTCCCCACCCCATGTTCGAGACTGTGTAGATATATTTTTGTTCATTGTTTTTTTTTTTTCTTTGGTTATATTTTTATACGACGTTATGAGTTACCATGGTAACATTAGTGATTTACTAATGGGGATTTGAGTGAATGTAAATTAATATTGCTTTGAAATGGACCATGTCACCCCCATTACCGTCTAAACTTGTTCTACATGGGGCGGGTTGGAGAGGGAATTCCACTTTTTTGTTGTTTTAATTGAAACGTGTCCTCTGTCTTGTGTGTAAAAGCTCACAAGTGTCTGTGGATGGTGTATAAGTGGTATAGACACATGGACTTGATAGACATCACCATATGCCTGTTCTGTATTTGTCTACTGCGAGTTTCACTTTTTTTTTTTTTTTTTTTTTTTTTTTTATACATACTATTTAAACTGAGGCCATAATCGCTCCACTGCCATAAAGGTTGGACAGCTAAATCTGGACATGTTTTTTTTATTTTTATTTTGCCTTTTTTAATTTCAGTATTTTCTGTACGCTTTGGCACTAAGTTGAGAAGGGTCTCTTCTCGCCCTGTAAATTTGTCCGGCAGGTAGCTGCTTTATTTATTTTTTTAGCTTTATTTAATTTTTTTTCTCTGAATCTAGCTACTATCAGTCCGAGCTCACGCTGAGGTTTGAGGGATGTTCGGGTCAGGCAGAAGAAAAAAATGCATTGTGTTCTTGCCTTTACATCTGAGCTGGGGTATTTGTACAGTGAAATTCCTATTGTACAAATAAATCACTAAAATTGCAATTGACCAGACTTTCTCTATTTTCTTTTGTTGTGGCACATTTCAAGGCGGTCATGACGGTCCGACACACCCATGATCCAATCTTATTTCTTTGTTTTTATTTCAATATGTAAGTGAGTTTTGAGTGAGACATTGTTGCAGTGCCAAGACTGTAGAGGCGTCTCCACACTTGGAAAGCAGAATTGGCACACTGGTGGTTGTTTTTTTGAATGGATTACACAGATGGGATGGTAAGAGAGATGATATATTATATCAACCCTAGCAGAGCAGTTGCACAAGTAATTTATTTCCATTCCCTGTGTCTTGATATTTGCAATGCGAGAAATGGTTCTCTACTCATGTTTTCGTTTTACAGTGTTGAATGTGATTAGGCTTTTTTTGACGCGTCAACAGGAAAACCTTAATGTCACAATGTCTACAAACGATCAAGATTGAAGTATACAGGTGCTGGTCATATAATTAGAATATCATCAAAAAGTTGATTTATTTCACTAATTCCATTCAAAAAGTGGAACTTGTCTATTATATTCATTCATTACACACAGACTGATATATTTCAAATGTTTATTTCTTTTAATTTTGACGATTATAACTGACAACTAAGGAAAATCCCAAATTCAGTATCTCAGAAAATTAGAATATTGTGAAAAGGTTCAATATTGAAGAGACCTGGTGCCACACTCTAATCAGCTAATTAACTCAAAACACCTGCAAAGGCCTTTAAATGGTCTCTGTCTAGTTCTGTAGGCTACACAATCATGGGGAAGACTGCTGACTTGACAGTTGTCCAAAAGACAACCATTGACACCTTGCACAAGGAGGGCAAGACACAAGGTCATTGCAAAAGAGGCTGGCTGTTCACAGAGCTCTGTGTCCAAGCACATTAATAGAGGCGAAGGAAATGTGGTAGAAAAAAGTGTACAAGCAATAGGGATAACCGTACCCTGGAGAGGATTGTGAAACAAAACCGATTCAAAAATGTGGGGGAGATTCAGAAAGAGTGGACTGCAGCTGGAGTCAGTGCTTCAAGAACCACTACGCACCGACGTATGCAAGACACATGGGTTTCAGCTGTCGCATTCCTTGTGTCAAGCCACTCTTGAACAACAGACAGGGTCAGAAGCGTCTCGCCTGGGCTAAAGACAAAAAGGACTGGACTGCTGCTGAGTGGTCCAAAGTTATGTTCTCTGATGAAAGTAAATTTTGCATTTCCTTTGGAAATCAGGGTCCCAGAGTCTGGAGGAAGAGAGGAGAGACACACAATCCACGTTGCTTGAGGTCCAGTGTAAAGTTTCCACAGTCAGTGATGGTTTGGGGTGCCATGTAATCTGCTGGTGTTGGTCCACTGTGTTTTCTGAGCTCCAAGGTCAACGCAGCCGTATACCAGGAAGTTTTAGAGCGCTTCCCGCTGCTGACCAACTTTATGGAGATGCAGATTTCATTTTCCAACAGGACTTGGCACCTGCACACAGTGCCAAAGCAACCAGTACCTGGTTTAAGGACCATGGTATCCCTGTTCTTAATTGGCCAGCAAACTCGCCTGACCTTAACCCCATAGAAAATCTATGGGGTATTGTGAAGAGGATGATGCGAAATGCCAGACCTAACAATGCAGAAGAGCTGAAGGCCACTATCAGAGCAACCTGGGCTCTCATAACACCTGAGCAGTGCCACAGACTGATCGACTCCATGCCACGCCGCATTGCTGCAGTAATTCAGGCAAAAGGAGCCCCAACTAAGTATTGAGTGCTGTACATGCTCATACTTTTCATGTTCATACTTTTCAGTTGGCCAAGATTTCTAAAAATCCTTTCTTTGTATTGGTCTTAAGTAATATTCTAATTGTCTGAGATACTGAATTTGGGATTTTCCTTAGTTGTCAGTTATAATCATCAAAATTAAAAGAAATAAACATTAGAAATATATCAGTCTGTGTGTAATGAATGAATATAACAGACAAGTTTCACTTTTTGAATGGAATTAGTGAAATAAATCAACTTTTTGATGATATTCTAATTATATGACCAGCACCTGTATATCTCAACATAACTGGTGGCACCTCCAGTCAACATGTCGTAGTAGAGGCCCCTTTTTTAACAGCAATTTGCAGTTTGGAGTCTAAGTGGATAGGTAGGCACATCTGGACATCCCCATTCATCCATTGTCCAAGCTCTATCACGTTGTATGGAGACGGGAGTGAACAGTTATCAAGTCTCGCCACATATTTGTGATTGAGGTTTGGATTCTGAATTGGGAGAGTATGATTGTTGTTTTGGATGCAGTGCATTCCTGCCTGGCTTTGGCTTTGTTCTGTGTTGTCTTGCCGAAAAATAAGTCATCGCCCACAGACTACAACACATGCTCCTCTATGATTTCTCTGTATTTTTGCGGCATTTGTGTTTAACCTTCCCTTATCCTAAGCATTTTTTAGTGCCTGCTGCTGAGGTGCATCATTCTGCCACCAGAGGCTTCATGCTGGGGATGGGAGGCATTCTGCTCATGTGCAGTGTTTGACTTTCATATGCATGGTGATCATCTTGGTGCGTCAGTCTCCTCTCATTGCCTTCTGGCAAAAACACTCGCCCAGATGTGAGCCAGAACCTGCGGCCCACTGGTGTCTCTCCTCACGTAGACATTTAGAATTTTTGGAAAGCCTTTTGAGGGATATTTAGCAAATTTTACAGCATCCTTCCACTTACTTCCACTAGCCCTTATGACAAACCAGCTGTTCAGATACAGGTGTGTTGATCTTAATATCGCTTGGTTACATACAGGTGATCGCCACTCAACTAATGATTTCTTTTTTCATGTCCCGCGTTGAAATGCTCCCCAGCAACCTTCCAAGTGTGAGAGAAAGGAGCTCACAGTTGGATGCCTGGAGAGACGTTAGACTTTTGAATTCACGCGGTCGCAGCATTCTGTTTATCCACTTTGTAGGGGAGGGGTCAGTCATAACCTATGCTCCGCCATTCAGAGCTAATTGGTATTGCGTAAGAGACGGATGAATACACTTTTGTTCTCCTCTTTGCATGATTAGCAATTCAAAATCAGGACGTCGTGATTTTCGTCCACCCCTGATGGACAATATTTTGTCTGGACTCTCGCTGGCTGTTCATTCTAACGGTGGGAATAAAGACTGTTTGGGATAAGTACGGCAAAATTAAGCTATTATCCTCATGAGACAAAACTATAATTACCTCGAAGGAGGGTTTGTTATAATCGCAGCAAATGAGGATACCACAAAGAGGGATAATGGCAAACCCAAATACCGCTCTGGTCATTATTTGTAATTGGGCGGTAGCCATTGATGTATGAATGAAAAGTTCTAGTGCATTACTTTTTAGTTTTTACCATTTACTATAAAATGATCAGATTACATGTTATAGAGTAGAACCTTTGTGTTTGAGTTCAGTATTGTAGAAGTTAATTTCACAACATTGTGCATTAAGCACATTATACTAAAGAAGTATATTCATTATTAGTTTTAAATACATGTACAATACAATAATTTACCCATACTTGCATGCATATACGCAGATGGATAAATCAGTGACGTGTATAAAACCACAGCATACTAAAGCAGACGGTAGCAAAAATCCAAATTTTATTTTTATAGTGGCTTTAAAAAAACAAGTTTACAAATTGCTTTGACAGACGAAGACCGACAAACTAAGGTAAAAGTTAAACCCTGATAAAACAGCACAATAGATGAAACAATAAAACCAATCAATACGATAAACTATGAAATAAAATTAATTAAAGAAACAAAATACAATAAAGCAGTAAAAACACATCACATAAAAGCCAGTCCGTATACTATATGGGTTTTAAGAAGCGATTTAACAGAATACTGCTTCCGAGAGCTTTATCTCCTCAGGCAGCTCGCTCCAGACCCTGATGGCAGAACGCACGGTCACCTTTAGTTTTGAGCCTCGACATTGGAACCACAATTAGGGCCCCCCCCCCCCCCCCAACCCGAGGATCTAAGTCTGCGAGCTGGCTCATAAGTGGTCAACTTTTCTTCTATATATTTTAGGGCCAGACCCAGACTTGCTTTAAAAGTGATCAGTAAAATCAAGTCTTAAAACAAACAGGGAGCCAGTGAAGAGAAGCCAGGATTGGGGTGATGTGATGTCGTCTGTTAAAACCAGTGAGAAGCCAAGCTGCTGCGTTCTGAACTAGTCGGACGCGGGTGAGCGACTTTTGGTTGATGCCAGAGAGGAGAGAGTTCCAGTAATCAAGTCTTGAGAAGATAAAGTGAGTTTTTTTTCCAGGTGAGAGGATGAGTTTGATTTTTGGAGATGGTTCTAATTTGAAGGAAGCAGATTTGTGGTTTGAAGCTTAAATCTGAGTCAAATAGGGATCGTATAGGGAGCATGCTGTGGAAGCCTTTCGTCAACATTTCCAAAAGGGGAGAAAAAAACCCAACAGAATGTGAGCGTTTCACGTCTCCACTTCAACTCGGAGTATGTGTGACACACGCTTGCATCAGTCTGTGGGAGGAAGCTGTGAGTGGGCGGTGAAACATTTGAAGAGCAAGCATTAGGGTGGAGTCAATTTACAACAGCCAATTGGAAAAGTCGACACAGAAAACCAAGAAGTTACTACAAAAGGAAATGAAGCCCACCCTCCCTGTGATTTTTTCCTTTTTTCTTTTTTTTTTTTTCAACCTCACATTATGTAATATGAGCACAGGGGTTTCTACATGGATTGTTGAGTATAATAGTGTGGTTGTAAAAACTTGACATAACTGGTTCACTATAACTCTGTTCATGTTTAAGTACTGTTAGGAAAGCCCCCCCCTCGTCACACACCCGTGGGGGACACACCCCTTTCTGTTTAATGTGAGAAAAGGCACAGACGTGTGAAAATGACCCGAGCTAATATTAGAGTCCTGAATTCCAACAGCATTGACGTAGAAGGCCCGAGCTCATGTCCCATCGTAAACATCTGTGCTGTTCCCTAAAAGTGAAATGAGGCTGACCTCTGACCTCATATCAAAGTATTGAGTGTCACTTTGTCCAGGATGGGAAACAACGCTGCTCGCTTATTGCGAATTAAAGTTCTAAATTTAATTTCTGCATTTCAGAATTGAAATAGTTTAGCTTTCAGTGTTTTGTTTCTTAATCCACTTCTCATTCCCCCATCAAACACCACCATAAACCAACGAGTGAATTACAACAACCTGCTAGTGCTGAGAGTACAATTGGATCAACACGTGTCATATTTCACAATTTTATTAACATAACTTTAAAAAAAAAAAGAAGAAAGTAATTTACAGTGTGAAACAGTTGACCCGACACTGAAAACAGAAAAACATATTTACATGAAGGATGAGCCCATTGTGTGCCACGCGGCCTCGAGCAAAGAATCTTACGGTGTTAGTACACAGAACCCTTTCTACAATGTGAAGAATGATAATGAGTGAGGAAGTAAAACACCAGCTGAATGCACTGGATATCTCTGATATATTTATATCTCCAACACGGGAAACCACAAGCAACTGCAGTTTTCTAGTGCAACACATTTCAAGGGTTTCAATACATACAGACATACACGGTTGAGATTCTTATCTCTGCCTTTCCCAAAAAGAAAAAAGAAATATCTGACTACATGTTGCTGCGAGTCATGACAGAAATGAGTTGTTGCTGCCGCACTTCTTTCTGGTTCTCTAACAGTTGCAGCTTGAATATACAGTAGCTCTTACATATTTATTTTTTTACTACATATGAACTTTAATAATAAACTTTACATTATTTGGGCAAATTTGGGCTAAAGAAAAGCATCGGTGTCATTTACCTATCCCTTGAGGCTATGTTTTATACAGTTGTGGCCTGACTCAATGTTAGGAAAAAAAATGAATAAAAACTAAATAACACATTTAAAATAACCATTGAACTCATCCACAAGACCAACTGTCTGCTGGAAATACAAACACCTGGACAAACTCCCTTCCGCATATTTAATGCTTCCTTTCAGGGCATACATATACTACCTTTTTAGCTAGTCTATTTTGTGTGATGTTACCATCTGGAACCCCCCCCATTGATGCATTGACCTTGCAATAGGGGAGGAGCAACACATGACTCCAAGGTGGCAGGATGTCGGTGAAAGCGCTGCTCCACGGGAAATCGAACCTATCTCTACATCAGCATGACGGAGCCTGACCACCGGTTAAGTCAAACCAACCAGAGAGACATAATGACCGGCTCCTCATCCCCGCGCACAGATCCATCCGCAGGATCTCAGCAGGAGACGGACGGCGAGTGATTGGGATCGATCTGATGGGCTGTGTGGGTAGACTCGTGGCTGGCGTAATGAGGAAAACACTTCCTGTCAGTTAGCAGATGGGATGGGGACGTGTTGCGCAGCGAGCTCGGAGCGTGCCAAGCACACAGCATCTCAAATCTTCCATCTTTGAGGGTGGAGCGGTGTGAAGGGACGGGGGGGGCCACGAAACCACGCAGCCACGTGTCCCGGGGCTTCCGCCTCAGATGTACAGAGAGCCGTCGGCGGGTCCCACATAACCGACCCCTATCAGAAGAACGTCTATCAAAGTCCAAATGCCCAAGCCCCCGAAGCTGAACAGCTTGCCCAGACCCTCTCTCCACTGGCCCAGATAAAACCGGTCAGCCCCAAAACCACCAAGCGTAATGCTACGGAAAGACATGAGAGAAGACACGGGACAAAGACGCTGTTAGAGCACACATCTGGATCCACGTTGATTTTTGTTGAGTGTTTCCAGCGTCTAAGCTGGTCATAACTATTGACGCGAGTGGCAGGTTTACCTGAGTGCTAATGCCGTTGACCATTTGTATCCACCCGTCCAGTTACAAAATAAACGTTTCTGAAAACGTCTATTACCTGCAGACAAAGAAAATAGATTTAGCGGAAACAAAACATTTCCCACACAAATGAAGAACACTAAAACCACAAATAAAATGTTGGTGAAACAAATTAGCATGACTGAAACACATTTTCCTAAATTACAATATCTGTTGAAAACATTTCAAAATGCTTGACCCTATTATTGTATGAACTATTGTTGGTTCCCAGATTGTGTAATTGTGTACCTGATGAGATCAAGATCCATAATTACTCAACAGTATTATTTTTAGATCACACTAATTATCACCCAACAGAGAGCCTAACCCTGCATCGGAGAATTTAAAGGAATACTTCATCAATTACTCAACCCCGTGTTACCTTGAACTCTTGAAGAAAACTCGTCTTTGAAGTAAATAGGGGCCGTGTTTAAGAACGGTAAAACTTTATCAAAACATCTGTTTACAACCTCTCACAAAACGCATGCATTATCGTATATAAATAACTATTACCATTCAAAACAATTCTTCCTTTCTCCATTTTTTAAAAAAAATCTGCCTTCACTGCGGAGGCATGCAAGAAAAATAAAGACATCTTCGAGAATTCAAGGTAACACAAGTTTAGTAATTGATAGACAAATTATCATTTTGGGCAACCATGAATAGGCTAAAAAATTTACATTATTGTTCGAGCCAAAAGGGTCACTTTGTAAAATCTTAACTGGGAGAAAAAAATCTGTGAAACTCTCACGTCTTCAAAAAAAACAAATGCCTGACTGAGACACTGAAGGTAAAGCAACCAAACAGGCTCTACAGCGGAGCCTTCGTCATACCTAAACAATGCACGTGGTCTAACACGTCACAGGTGGCGTTGTAGCGCTTGCGTGGGCAGGACACCGTCATGCAGTTGGTGGAGTTTGAGCAGCGGTACTGGGACGGGTCCAGCTGCCAGCAGAACTGACAGCTGATGGAGAGAAAGAAGTTGGTTTGCTGCTGTCCCGACTCTGCCTTAAAATACAAAAAAAAAAAAACATCAGGTCATCAACACACACGTATTCCAAAAAACAGCTGTTTCTTAAAATCACTAATTCTCTCACCACACAACTACTATTTGTCAATAGTGATGTCACGATATGAGACTGATGTCACGATTATTGTCAGAGGAAATATCACGGTTTCATGATTACATAGCTAACAACTAAAGTATTCATCATCATCAATGTAACAAGTTAGTTTTTACAGTGTAAGCTATGGCTACTTAAAAGTCATTTATGCTGCTTGTATAGAAATAGACTATACAAAACTAGAGAGAGAGAGAGAAACAAAGAGAGAGAGAACAACAGCTCCACCCTCAGCACAGAAGGTAATCTGATATTCCTGCAAGATTCTGGAAGCAAACAGTAACAGCTTGTGGACAACTTCCTGCCGAGTTTAAACTGTGTTGGTTCAGTTTATTACATTAGCGAGTTGAATTTTTGTTTTTACCTTGACTCAGGCATAAAGGGGGTTGATGGAGGATGCTGGAACATATTGGAAGTGCTGGACCCCTTGCCGTTACTTTTCTACAACAACTTCCTGGTCATTTTGTAGATATACAAAATGCTCCACAATGCCGGTTGAAGGCACGTTTTTTTTTTTTGCGGATATTAAGCTGGAATGTCGGGGCCCTCGGACATTTTTACAGCTCGTATTCTCAACTCTTCAGGTGAGTGGCACGACTCTCTCACACAGGACACAAACCGCACGTATAGAGTGACTCGTTCATGATGAGATTTTACCGCACACACAAACGTCGTGTCTGGTAACAAAATAGGTTAATCCCGACATCCCTATTTATACTTTCTTCAAGCAGTATTCAGATCACTTCCAGTTTCACAGCTGACACAAACGCTACAAGCACAACTTGACTTCTCGTGTCATGTTTCACTTCCCTTTTTATCAATGAGCAAAACAAGGTGTAGACCTCCGACTGTCAATCCTTTTTTTTGAAGGCAGCATAGATCTATCACATGATAAAAACTGCTACTCACTATGCAGTGAACTCCTTTTTTTGGTTTACAGGTGAACAAAACTGGTTTCTTGTAGATGCAGTTGGGTTGGTAATTGTGTTGGTAATTGCAGTGCATGCAATCAGCTGGCAGGCGAATACACGAACCCCCACTAGGACACTTGGAAGTGTAGCTCTCTTCATCTGTAGGAGACACTGAAAAACATTAAGTTACAGAAGTGGGTTTTTTTCTTCTAGCAAGAATAATCAATGCAATGTAACAAAGCTTTGGCACAATTTCATGTGGCAGTGCACTTGTAAGTGTGTACCACTGCTGGAGGTAAACGACTAACGCTCTGTCCTCAACAAAAAAAAAACCTCCAACAAAGAGTCCTTGAACAGGGCCATTCATTCCTGATTGCTCCATTAAGGCTGCCTGCTGGCCAGCAAGACAAAAAAAAAAAGAAAATGTTCTTGCTCTGTTGTAAAGTATTTAACTCTTCCAAGTCGAGACAACATGAGAGCAATATTCTCTCTGATACCGGGTAAAAGAGAGAATAGATTTTTAAATTAAAAACCTAAAACATATATTTGAAAGTTGACCAATTCTTCCTGAACAAACCGTTGCTTCTCTGGTCTTGTTTGTTTGGTATAACTAGGGATCATAAGAACAGGATAATCAATGAAAGCTAATCACTTAGCTGATAAAACACTGCGACTGTATTTTAAGGATTTGGGAACTTTCTCTAGATTGTCGGGCTGAGGCTGCAGCCATGACCCATCCCCCCTCCCTCCCTCTACCACCAAGTCCCTTCACGCCTCAGGGAAGACGACACAGGAGAGGGTGGGCGAGTGTCAGAGGGCTGTTACCCAGTTTACCTTTAAAGGCCTGCAGCCCTTCTCAACAGTGGAGTTAAAGGGATTTTTATAACAACTAATAAGTCAGTGTGTATTGAGTTGTTTGATACATAGTTATTAAAAGGGGAGCAGCTGTGTTGTTATAAGTTAGTGTTAGTTGTTGGTATTGAAATAGTATAGTCAACAATAGTGAAAACATTTCTGCTGTTGCAGTTCAATAAAGACTATTTGTTTACATATGAATAATGAAGCACTGTTGATTCTTTTTTAATTGTCTTTTTTTCTCTCTCACAAAATAATCAAAAAGAACCGATAAGTGTATCGAAGAGGAACCGAACCGATAAGCAGTATCGGTAATAGTACTAGTGTCGATAAAATCCTAACGATACCCATCCCTAGTTATTACATGGACAAATTAAGTCGAAGAAAGATAATTACCTTATTATATTATAGAGGTGACATAACCAGTATACCAATATGCCCAGATTTGGAGATTATAATTCATTTCTACTATGTAGCACCCCGACATTCAAAATAATCAAATCTGTAACGTGTCAACATGTTATTAATCACTTTACCTACTACTCGCGGTTGTGCTGCAGTTCTTTGTAAATATGTGCTAAACAACAACCTAAGAGTTCGTCGTTAACTCTCGTTCCAGGTTCCAGTCAGTGTGATTAATGTTGATTAATGTCCGATGTGTTTACCTGAGGCGGCAGCAGGGACCACTGGGCTGGTGATGACGGGTCCATGCTGGGCGTCTCTGGAGTAGGGAGGCTCCTGGCCAACGTGAGGGGAGCTCAGGTACCCTGACAAGCATCCACACAGGGAACAGTTAAACTCCCTCATCTGCCACAGCATGGTTATGAAACATAAACAACAGCCTTCATTGTTTAATAAACAATGAACAATAATAAACAATAGCCTTCATATTGCGGAAATGTTAAGTGATGATCAATAACGTTGATGCATTGGCGTGTTACGAATCAGACACGTCAATAACGTATGGTTAATATATAACGTTAACTTAGAAGTCTCGTGAATGTGTTAGTGATCAAATATACAGTATTATATTTTCGCATCTAAGCTAAGCTAGCTAACGTTCCTGCTTAACAGTAACTTTACCGAGGCGTTGAACGCTCACAGTTATTGCAAATTAGCGGGGTAGTCAACTGTTAGCACTTTATTACTGTTCATTAAAAACACATAAACTAAAGTGTCTGTTGTATTAGACAAGCTAATGTTCAATTAGCGCTACTCATTGCGTCCTGTGAGCGTTAGCTCGCTGGCTAACGTTAACCAGTTGACGTCAATGCTAACTCGGTGGGAGGAAGCTAACGTTCGTACAAAAACGACAAATGCAAGCCAGCCATATGCGCGAGTCACGCGGTTTGACATCTGCAGCCGTCCCCGTAAACTTACCGTTAACACATTGGAAGACCAGGTCCATAAACAACACGAAAACGATTCCGTAGGTTTTGAAACAGCGACCTCGGTCGGGTCTCCATTTCTGACAGATGGTGGCCATTGTTGCAGCAGAGCTAACCAAAGCTACATTCAGGTCATGTAGGAAATGCGATTGTCAGCGATCCTCTGCTAGACAGAGGCAAGAGGAGGCAAGTGCTCACAAATACAGTAGTTGGTGTTTTCTCTGGTTGTTTGACCTCTTCCTAAAGCCTAGAGGATTCCATGGCAGATGTATTTAGTGGACAACATTTGCTCAAACAGTAATACGTTTGTTACACTCACCCATTCACATAGCCTTGATGCAAAGTGAATTGTTGGTGTTTTCTTATATACAGTCTATGGGTTTGAGTATAGACCTACCAGCAAAATTAAACATCAACCTCAATATCTTTACAGTGATCTTCAGAATGATAACTGCAACTATAACTTGTTGCGACTACCATCTTTAATTACATTTCCCCCCCACTTATTTCTATGCTTTATATCGTTCACCACAGCTATAATCACAGTTAGTGGCATCAAAATACATGTTACAAAATATGTTAATAAAGTGTGTCCCCAAAACCCGTTTTATAGTGTGGAAAAGACTGACAGAAAAGATATACGGAAAAGACTTTGTGTGCCAAATTTCCCATGACTTTGAACGCAGCGTAAGCAGCAGAAGCAGATCGTCCTTCCACCCACAGAAACCCTGACATCCATTCATTATGAACCGCTAACCTGTCATTAAAGTTTCTCCTGTAATGTTGTCACATTTAATTCGGTGTTTGTGAGGTATGGTTTCTGTAGACAACACTAAACTACTGTCCTGTCTTACGCACCAGAGCACTGACGTGGGAACAGCTGCTCCTGATTTGATCTTGTCATGATGTAGAAGCATGTGGCTCTGTATTGCTCAGTAGGACAAATCATTGCCACCATTAACGTTTGTACCGGTATTTCCATTGTTGACAACTACCAACAACCAATGCACTTCACAGAAAACTACTGCCTTAAAAAATAAAAAAAGAAAATAAATTACCCGTTCAGTTTCATGTAATTTATTTTAAATGAGTAAACCAATCAAGCTCGGTTGCGTGTCTCGAATAATTTTATTTCTGAGGTTCAACACAGAGACAGACCTTTGTGAAAAATCAGTGCAGAATTCACATAACCTTCATTATGATCACATCGTTTGCGTTTGGACAGCGGCATTGTTTGAGCAGGGTCAGGCGAGCCAGCACCTCGGCCGCCGACAGCTCTCCGTGCACTTTGTTGTCCCGCGTGCGCACATTGACGCCGCCAGTCATCTTCTCCTTCTCCCCGACCACTGCCAAGACACGAGCAGACACAACAGCTCGACATGGGCCAAGTCACGCCACGGAGACACAGCTACCCTAACACGTTTCCCACTCTGCGCCGCTGAATTCAACAACTGTGGGTGTTCGGGCCAGCTCGGAGGTCCATTTGCTTTATAGACAATCAATTAAGAATTTATTATTGTTATTCTAGTTTACCGACAACTCCACTGTGAAGAAGGACCATAGCAGGGGGTTTAGCTCATTTCATACAAATCACATGTTCTTTCTGTTGATTATTTTTTGAAAACCTTTCATTTGTAGCCAAATGTAGCTAGGCCAGTTAATGTTCTCACCAAGAATGAAGTTGCATTGGGCCAACTGAGCGTTACGGATTTTCTTGTTGAGAAGACAGCCGGAGTCGAGGTCAGCGTCTGCCATGAAACCGGCTTCTGTAAACTGCTTACACACCTGAAAGGGTGGAGAAAACAATCCTTTATGGTTCAGCATTATTATAGATAATCATTGTCTGCACTCATGTGGTTGCACTTGAATGTGGTCGAGATGTGGTGTTGGTGGAAGACGTACCCTCTTGGCGTAATCCTCACAGGACGGGTTGACGGGCACTAACATCACCTGACGGGGAGAGAGCCAGAGAGGCCTGTTGGGAGGACGGACAGACTTTTAATGAAGCTGCTGTTAAGAGCTTTGCCACCCACATTTCTCTCTTAAAAAACAAAAGGAACTACTGGGTGAAATCTTTATGGTATGGGGATGCTGAAAGGAGAGAGGACATCGTAAAAAAGGAAATCTCATAATATCTAGAATAAAGGCATCTGATTCATCCGGTGAAACATCACTGAGACGATTGAAAGCAGTGGGCCATTATTTTGTTTCCTTTTTATCCAATAACATTTTCAATTTTTTTTAATTAAAGCTCTGAAATGTAAGCGTGACTAGAGGGCACTTCACCATTTGCCTGCGTAGTTCTCTGTGAGGATGGCGATCATCCTCTCCACGGAGCCCAAGATGGCGCGATGGATGATGACTGGTCGGGCTTTGTCATCCCCGTCCTTCCTGTAAGACATTGCATCAGAGGGAGAGTATTATGGCTTTCTGGGAAGTGCTCCAGTATGAATGCAAACTAGACGTATTCTTGGCCTTTCATGTTTATCGTCGTATTTTTTGTCTTCATTTCAAATTAATTCTTATTTGCATCTGGCTAAGTCTGACTGTCTGCAACTTAAGTATCACTATCCATCCATCCTTCCACTGATCTACCGCCCTCCTCCCTTTTCCATCTGTAATCCTGGGCTGATTGGACTAACGCACAAACTATTACACATCTATTGCTGTACAGGATGTGCATTGGTTTCCAATGCCGGCTTTACAAATTCAGGAGATAAATCGACCCAGTCACCTGCTCAGTGGCTTCAAATTCATATTCATAAAACACGACTACGTGGAACACAGCGCACAAGCTGAGACATCTGACTCGGGGGGGGATTAACCTATAAACCCTCGGTGCAGTAGAGCTCACAGACTCGGCAGCGTGTCAATGTTTTCATTAGCTAACTCACCCCACAAAGGTCAGGTCGAAGCGGACGGGCAGCTGGAAGTCCAGCTGAATGGTCGCGCACTGGTGGTAACGTCCGATTGCATCTTTGATCTTGATGTCGATCTGTCGACGGCACAGAAAGTAACCCAGGACTTTAAGGACTTCAAAAAAAAACTAAAAAAAACATGATTTTGCGTTTGGCACGAGAAATCTCGAATGTTCCGACCTTGGGTCCGTAAAAAGCCCCGTCTCCAGGGTTGAGTTTCCACGGCTCCCCGAACTCGTTCAGGCTGTTCTCCAGTTGCTGTCAAACACGATGCACAGTCAACACGTTAACGAGTTCAGTCTGGGCTTTGCACTGCCGAATCCTGTTCTACATTTGCATTAGAAGTGATGCACTCGTTCAGTTTACGACAGTGCGATGTCGTCTAATGAAAACACACCACCATACAGAAATGAGAGGCTCTTCACAGTGACTCACAGATGTGATACTACTACCGGAGCCTCGTCTTTTCTCCTCCTGCTAAGCGCCCACTCGAGTTACGCAGCAGTTTTGTCGGCCCCCGGCTGTTTCGATCAAGCGAAAAATAAACAGACAACTCCGAGGTCAGAGTATCACCAACAGCCCTTTCAACAATTCCAAGTTCAGGGCCGATTGAGTGGGAGAAATAGGCCAACAATAAATGTAGTTTTTATTAAAAAGTGGACACAAAAATCAGCCCGGTTTTAAGTTGAGGCAAGTTGAGGTTCCAGCTGATCCCTGAATTTCACATATGCGTGTCACCAGAGCAATGTCTTGCACCCGGAAGGCAAAGTCACCTCTTCTGCTGAGTATTTGTCAGAATTCACTGAGGTACCTGGAGTTCTTTTTCCACCACAAATCATCACTACGACGCGTGATGCGGGTTTTACCTTCTCTGCCTGGTTCCACACAGCGATATCGCCTAGATACTTCTCCGGACGGGTGGAGAGGTGAAGCTGGAAGGAGAACCCGAACACGTTGTAGACGCAGCGCAGGAAGTCCAGGCAGCCCTTCATCTCTGACCCGATCTGTAGAAGTAAACAAAAACAAACACAAACATGACTCAGAATTTAGGAAATGACTCATAACTTGTTTTTCTAAAACCGTTTTTCCCATGTTAAAAGACATAAAAAACTTGAAGAAAGCTGAAGACTAGTGATGTGGTCACCTGGTCCATCATGCAGAAAATGTGAGCGTCGTCCTGCTGGAAACGCCTCACTCTGGTCAGCCCGGTCAGCGTTCCCGACAGCTCGTTTCTGTGGAGGACCCCGAAATCTGCCAGCCTCAAGGGAAGCTCCCTCCACGAGCGAGGCCTGTGGCTGAACATCAGACTGCGGGGACGACCAGAGAGCGAGGCACCGAAATGACATGAGACACGCTTTAAACACCGTTTGATTTACAACATTTTGGGGACATGAGCGATCTAAAGTTACCAGTGCCCGGGACAGTTCATGGGCTTGAGCGCGAAGATGTCGTCTTCCACGGGGAAGGAGAAAATGTTCTCGCTGTAGTGTTGCCAGTGGCCAGATGTCTCCCACAGTTTGCTGTTATAGATGTTGGGGGAGGCTACTTCCTGAAAGCCTCTCCTCCAGTACTCATCCTAGAAAACAAACACAAAACAAAACCACGTAAACAAGCTCGACCGGCCAGTTGAGAACGAACAGGTTCTTTACTGAGAGCTGAAATGAATCATGACTTCTAGCACAAATCCCGAGCTACTGCAGTGCAAATCAGATCCTGTGGGGTTTTTATTTATGTTTGTTTTCATAAAGCAAAACAGTTTAATGTCTCGTTGAGCTGCAAATATGTGTAACTGTGAATTAAATCAGGAAGGAGCTTAAAAACACCACACATGCCAGTACAATTTAGCACAAGAGAGATACAAAATTGAACGTCATTTCGCCAAGTGACGACTGACTGCATCTCTTCCATTGCAGTCATTAGAAGCCACCTTCAAGTATTTAGAAATGTTCTCAAAAACATTTTAGCAATATGTCGTAGAGGGAAATGCATTGCACATGTTTTTTTTGTTTTTTTAACACCGTGATAACAGAAGTGACGTGATAATGATCTTGCACCGCTTCTGTGCAATGTATGCGAGGTCTCCGTGTTAGTGTGTGCTGTGTGAGAAAGTCTTCCAAGATGTCAACACATCTCCGCGGGGACGTCACAGAGGCCAGTTCCTGTGCGGTCACACTAAAACTTCAGACAAGTCTGCTCTTAACAGGGAGAACTTCTGCCCACTCGAGTCACC